GGTTTAGACGTAGAGGTTAGGTTAGGTCGGGATAGGGGGAAAAAGAAAAAGAAAAAAGGTGAACTTTTCGTTAGGCGAAATTTTCAAATTTTCACGCCGCCGTATAGGTCAAGCGTGGGGTGATGAAGCCCCCCTCTCCTACCCCCTACCCGTTTTGTTGCGACCGTGTGTACAAGAACCGTAACATAAGAACGCAAATGTAGCGATCGAAACGGGAAACACGAAATTATAGCATTGTTCTCCGCCGAGAGAGAGAAAGAGAGTGAGAGACGTGAAACCTTTTGTAGAACGGAGACCGAGAGTACCCATTTATATCTTCATAAATCGCACAGGCAACAATGGAAACCGCCGGAGGAAAAAATTTAATAGCGCCGCGCGTAAAGAGATAGAATACATACCTATACGGATGAAAAAATGCAAAATGACCTTTCGTATTTAATGTGTCTTTTGCAATCGCATTGCGTTATTCCGTTGAACGTACGTTCTTCGGCCGCATTCGGAAACGGCAGATTTATTGTAGTGCTGGAAGTATACCCGGATACTCGGATATTTTAAAATCCGAATAAAAATCAATTCGGATATTCGCATACTATTCGGATTTATTCGGATATTAGACGTAATATATGCTGTTCAGATATTTTTACCAATCGAATGTTCATATAGCATGCTATCAAGAATATTTGAGGTATAAAATGGTTACGCACATGTTAAAATTTGAAAAAAAAGACGTCCTAGGATAACGGAGACACGGGTGCAGCCGCAGTTATAGGTAATTTAATGTGTATCTGTAAGCAACGATAAACCATTGCTAACGAAAAAAACGATTCTGAGCGGAGTTCAGCTGATAGTGATGCTTTGTCAACAAAATATATATTATGTCATATTATGGTAAAATAATTCAATAGGCATTATATATTTTCTTTAAGAATATTTGTTTAATGTTTAACCGATTTTCCCGGTTTTCCTACGTTTTCCCCGGTTTTTCAGATTTTCTGGGAAAACTCTTCGCTAAATCGAAAAATAATCTCTCTAAAGTACCTCCCCAGTTGGATTGCCCTTAAGAAAAATTGCTATCATTATAAATCTGAGCGAAATTGCTGCTGGAAAAGTTATTCGCAGGAAAAAGAAAGGCCGTAATATATTTTAACTAATACCCAATACATTTCTTACATTTTCCCGTTTTTCCTCCGTTTCGGTTTATCACATTTGTTGAGAACAGTACTGAGAAAACCGAAAAACGAGTTCCCTAAAGTACCTCCACACACCGATTTTCTCTCAGAAAAGATGGTTCACTTGAAAATCGGAGCAAGATTTCTGGTAGAAAAGTTGCGTACAGAAAAAAACCGTCTTCGCTCCACTCAGTATACATAGGCACTTGAAAAACATTGAAAGTACAAAAAATCCAAATACATTAAATATTCGAATTTTACGGACAATCGTGAATATTCGGATTTTGCGGAATCAATAAAATTATCCGGCCATAACAATCCGGTTATCCGAATATTTAACAATCCGATTATAATATGTCCCAACGCTAATTTATTCTATTAGTTTGCGCATGTCGCAAAACCGCACCGAGTTCTATACCCGGACAAATGTATCAGTGGCGCAATAACTGTGTGTGACTATAATTTTTGGCTCGTCAAACATGAAATCTGCAATAATGTGTATGTGTGTCGTAATAGTCGCCGAAAATTGGCTATTTATATGTTTAGCTACGGGAAAATATTCGGAATAACTTCCGTTTTTATTATTTTAAAATAGTACGCAATGCACGCTATTTCCGCTATACACCAAACGATAAAACCGATCTATTTTGGTACCGGGGAGTATTGTAAATCCAACGAGTAGATACTTTCAAAAACGATACTTCACAATATTTTGTTGCATTCAAATATGTACAATATTGGCTATTTTTATACATACCTATCTAAAATTAAAACACAAAAACACTAAAAGTAACGATGTAAAGAGCGACATCTATGAGTGCATAGAAAGAGCATGTGACTTGTTATCCGGCAATAAAGTAAATATCCTTTTAGGGGATTTAAATGCACATATCGGACGTGAGTCTATCTATAGGCCTACTATCGGACAAGAAAGCCCGCATTTTATGTCTAATGAAAATGGGGTACGGAAAGCGGAATTGAAAACAACTAAATTTGGTTAAAGCTGAGGACTCAAAAGAATTACACGTTGAATTTCTCAGGTGGATGAGTTTAAATACTTAGGGATCATCATGAACACAAAAAATAGCATGCATAATGATATCCAGTTAAGAATAAATAGTGCAAACAAAGCCTACTTTGCCATAAATAAAATATGTTCAGTTCTAAGCTACAATCCAAAGCGACGAACCGGAAACTGTATACACTTCCTTCTGTACTCAACAGTAATTGGTATGCGTGTGAGACGTTTAAATGTTTTTAGGGCGTTTGCAAATATTTGCCCCGATAATAACTTATCTAAGTTTACCCAGTTATTTCGATTTAAATGATAATTGAATAGGGCAAGTTGAATTTCTAATCACTTACAAACATGTGTAAATAATTGATAATTAATCTTTTTTTTATTGTTATTTTGAGTCGTACGCCGTTATACAACGTGACTTCCACATTTAATGTGTCTCCCTCCTCAGCAAAATCTTAAACACGACAATTTCGGCACTGGATTTTTGTTTTGTTCGTGTTCGTTCACCGTACCCACAAGCTAACAAACTAAGTCACTGTACAGGCATGACTGCAACTTTGTGATATTGAGCTGATCACTATTAGCCAGTATACTAGCAGTGACTTTTTATGTCGCACAATACCTAGCACAGAAATCCGGTGGAAATAACGATTGCCGGCTGAATTCACAACCGAAATACCTACGTCGTATTATGCTGCCATACCATGACCATACCTAGTTATTTTAGCTCCGACCGTGCCTCGTGTGTCGTTATAATATAAATTCAAATTTAAAAAAATTATGTTCGGTATCATATTTTTACAACCGAATTTATGATATAATAATAATAAAAAAAACGCGCAAATTACAATTGTTTTGGTCTCATGTCCACACGCAAACTTCTCGTATCTCGTATCGATTCGTGTCGGGTTCAACATTTCGGATAAAATATGTAGGTAGAGTTACATCGAGTAAAAAATATAGCGAATAACTTTGCAGCGCAGTTTAATTTATTAAAACGATCAAGCCCATTTTGTACGCATAAAAATACAACGTATTTTCACCTTATCGGTAAAAACTTAATTTTTTTATGCGTTTATAAATTAGCAAAAAAAAAAGAAAACACGCACATAATATTTGAGAATTTTTGAACGCTCATTATCGGTAAAATATTATAATATTAACCGGACGGATAACGAAAAAAAAAACGTTCGAAATTTGGAGCCAAAGCTATGGAAATGCAAAACCATGATAATGCCATTTGTATGTTTCGGCATGATTTACGATATGTAGTGATTTTTACGAGTTTCGTCTCAAGATTCGAACATTAAGGGGATTGTAATCGGTGATTTTCTGTGTGTGTGTAGTACATAGGAATTTATACGTGTTCTATTCCGATTGGTCTAGTGAAGCGATATGAATTTTGAAAACAAATTTGAATTTATCGTTAAGTCTACTTTAGATCGAAGTTCCCACACGTTTTATTTTATTCCCTAAAATCTAAATGCTAAAGAACCTATATAAAAAAAAAAAGGAGTAATTAATGGAATGTTCTAATTTTGGAAGGTGGTCAAGTCGATTTCAAGTAGACTTGACGACAAAATTCAAATCTGCTATCAGAATTTTTATCGTTTCACTTGACCAATAGATAGTAAGAGCCGTTTTAATTTCTAGAAAATAAGTGTGAAAACAATTAATATTCAATAATAATCACAATCGCCGCACGATAATTCCTTATCGCAACGTTGAATATTAATTTTTTTCATACCTATGTTCTAAAAAAACGGCTGTTACTAAGAAATTAGTTATCGTATATGAATGTGCGTTACAGCAAAATGTTTAGAATAATATTTTTTACAAAATGGTTAGTTTGAAAATTTTTCAAAGTAAATAAATAAAAAATTAATTTTTTTCTTTTGTGTGTAGGGGATGAAAATAAAAATTTATTTTTTTTTCCAAATCGATGACCCCCTCGAAAAAACGCCGATTAAAAAAATTGAAAAATATTTAATATTAACAGCTCTAGAAAAATCCGTCGAACACGGTGGGACACACACTGTATGATATGAGTACCCATAACACTAGTTTGTCAGCTATATTATACTATTTATACAGAGCCGGCTCAATGTGGTGGCAAATTTCGAATGAACCAATTTAATTGTTATAATATAATATAGTGTGCTGGATTGTGCGTTCATTGTTCATAATATACAAAATTAAATATGTAACAGGTGATAGGTAATAACTAATAATAATACAGTATTGATAATCCGTTTACCGGTGACGCACCAAAATCGTAATACTGAAAATAAATGGAACGGCAGTAACGGTACATGCCTTAGCCGACTCGCAGACGATCGATGCACGTTCTTATCGAGTTTAGAATTATTATTCAGTTGGTAAAACTGTAATAAGTCTTAAAGGTTGTTAATAATTATGCAAGAACGGTCCTTAATAGTGGTTTATTAATGTTATATTATACGCGTATTATCACGATGAGTTCTTTCTATCTGTTTTAAGTAGGTGTCGGGACACCATCGAGTCATCAATTATGTAGTTCCATAGACTCGCAACAAAAACGACCGTCAATGACACAACGGCATTTAGTCCCGAACTTTCAGCCGCCCGCCTGATACGCAAATAGTTGTTGCTGTGGAGCGATAGTGATAGTGGATTAAGTGCGCGAACGTGTGCAATTTTTATTTTTTATAAAATAAACTTAAATTTTGTTGGATTATCACATTAATATTTATTGAATGTGTCAGAATTGTCAGAGCAAAAACGTATACGGTTATCAGGAGCTGCGTATCGAAAACAAAAATTAAAACGTGATGAAGAAATTAAAAAAAACTCTGGTTGCTTTGAAAAAAAATAATGAAGTTTTAAATAATCCAGAAACACATTCTAATATTATTTTAGAAGAACCAATAACCTTGGAAGTTATTGACAGTTTAAAAGAAGTTGGTAACTCAGAACAAATTTCCGACAGCGTTGACATTTTCAATAATGAAATAAACACAACTTTGGAAGAAAAAGCGAGTTTTAAATCTAATGAAAANGATTCATTACGACTTCAAGTAGTAAAAACAGGTCCCATTAAATCAAGTAAAGATTTCAACTATCCTAGAGATGCGTTAAATCGACGGTTTCCAATTTCAATTTTAAGTAAAGCATTAAAAAATGGCCAAGTTATACAACGTACGTGGTTAATTTATTCTGTTAAAAATGATGTTGTGTACTGTTTTTGTTGTAAAATATTTAGTATTGAAAATTATGCATTAACTAAATTTGGCTGTAATGATTGGAAAAACGTACACAATATAGTTAAAGAACATGAAACGAGCAAAATACATTGTAGTTCTTTAAAAAAATGGACGGAACTGTTAAACTTTAAATTTTTGTATGACATAAGTAGTCTAAAAAGTATAACGAAAGATAATATTGTGAAAAATTGTATGGATCTTCAATTGTTACTATCAGAAAATAAAAATGTTTGTAAATCAGATATTGATGCCATAGAAATGACAGATGAGTTAGTAGCCATATCCGAGTTATTAAAACCCAACAGTACCCCATTAGAAGTTTTACAGTTTATTGTAAATAATAACAATTTTGTACCAAATGTAGCTGTAGCACTTCGCATTATTTTGACTATGCCTGTGTCGGTCGCATCTGGTGAACGAGGCTTTTTCAAATTAAAAACTATTTGAGATCTTCTATGAATCAACAAAGGTTAAGTGATCTTGCTACAATTTCTATTGAAAAAGAAGTAATGGAAAATCTGGAGTTTAAAAATTTACTGACTGATTTTGCCCAAGAAAAGGCTCGCAAAATCAATTTTATTTAATATATTTTTAATTTTGTAGTTATATATTTTTTAATGTTTAATTAAATACATATTGTTGATCTATGATAACGTATAAAGATAAATAATAAATAAATAAATCGTATAAAGATGGGTAAAAGTATTACTTGTTCTATTTAACACCCAACATTTATTTTAATTTTATTATTATTATTTTATATTTTGTAAAGAAAACTGAGGTCAGTCAAAACATTTTTTTTTTTAAATAAAACAAGGGTTTGTAGTTAAAAATCAATGTCCATATTTTCTTTAACCCCCTCCTCTTCAAAAAATTAACTATTGCATAGGACAGCGTAAATTAGATTTGCCTAGGGCGACAAAAAACCTACGGCCGGCCCTGTATTTATATTTATGTAAAACTCATGTTAGCGTGTGAAAGTATTGAAATAAAATTTCAAATTTAATTGTGTGTGCCAAAAATTCCAAGTATGCCTTCTAAATCCATAAAATTAAGAAAATTACTTTATAACCAAACATTTTCAAGAAAAGCAAAATAAATTTCCTTTTTATCATTCGGAAGTGCATGAAACGGATTTCTGACACTACGAGCATCGCGCAGAAAGTTTTAGAAAAAAAGAAACGCAAAGTATGTACACCGACATTTCTGCCCTACTGATAAGTGTATACTTTGTGGCAGGGGCGGAGCGGGAACAAAATTCAGACTGTGAGATTGAAATGTATCCAGGCCACTCAATAAAATACGTACCAATGACATTTTCTCGTTACGCTCGGTATCGGTATTTTAATTTGAACCCACAATACTACGTTTTCTATGATAATGCACTACGAGTACAAAAAAAAAAAAGAAGTTTAGTAAAATAATCGCGTTAGTATATTTGGCTTTTAATACATGGTTAAAAATAATTCCATCAGTTAATTAATCAGTTATACTTTTAGATCATAACGACCGTGTACAAATTATTCAATAATGTTTTTGTTACGTAACGTTATACTCATCTGTAGTTACTGTAATAGTTATTAAAATATATACGTAGGTACGGCCAATGTTGGGGGAGGGGGGCTAAATACGCCACTGACGACAGTAATATCACGTGTCCCGTTTCATATTATAACACCGGGTACGTTCGTGGGCAAAGTTGGTCGGGTCGACCCATTTCCCCCCCCTCTAATTCGAGTCGTGTTAGTTATCCTAAAAAATTAAACAGAGTTAAAGTTATTCATTTCGAAATACCAACGAATATTCGTGTATATGTTCGCAACACAAACAATGTTCCACATTTTCAGAGAAATGAAGACTTCGTTGAGTCAAGAGTTATAAAATTTTAGATTCTGAGTGGAACGATAAATGTATCGGTTTTACTTCTTCTTCTTCTTCTTTTGACATTTATTACTTTAAAGAGTTTTCGCCGTCATCACGATCTTCTTCCACTCTTCTCTGTTGTAAACTATCGTTCTCCATTCTCGCACTCCTATTTTTTTTAAGATCTTCTTCAACTGTATCCAACCATCTCTTTCTAAGCCGATATTGGTTTTACAATAATGTTTATTTTTTTCTGTGCATAACTTTTCTACCAAAAATTTTGCTCCGATTTTCAATGATAGCACTTCTTCTGAAAGGAAATCGAACTGGAGATGCACTTTCAAGGACGTCATTTTTCGATCCGCCCAGGGGTTTTCATAATAAACGGGAAAACCCGGGGAAAAATATTATTATTATATATTGTTGACAAGGCAATAATATCAACCGAACTCCGCTCAGAATCGTTTTTTTGTTTGCAATAATGGTTAATCGTTGTTTACAGATGTACATTAAATTAATTATAACAGTGGCCGCACCCGTCCCCGTTATCCCGGGACCGCTTTTTCTTTGTTGAAAATTACTCTGTACACTCATAAACATTTTGTACTAAAATACGCAGTATAATATCGTATATTTCCGTTCGCGTCGTTACAATACCGCCCCTTTGCTCCGTAAAACATCGTGCGCGGTGCACCCATTTGGTATAAACGTACCCATGATAACTGATAGCGCCGTTACTGATAACTCGTTGCTGGATATCAAAAATCGTTTGCCGTTCAGTCGGCGCGATCGGCTTGTATTTACAAAACGGAACGATAGCGAGATAATATTTGTACGCGTTTATCGGAATGAAAAAAAAAAAAAAAACAAACAGACAAACGACCAGATATAACGACACGGCCGCAGTCGAGCGGTTCGAATTGATTTCCGTGCGGAAAAATAAAAGTCGGACGCAAAGTCCTCTACGTACATTATAATATTGCCGCAACCACTCGACGGTCGATTGAAAAGGGCGGGTTCGTTTCGCGCACACCGAATAATGATAATATTTCCGTTCGACCGCGTAGACACGACCGCCCGCGCATCGCGATTATTATTATTGTCATAATAATACTATCGTGATATTATTCTAAAAAATACGGTGGACGTCCTACGCGGTTTTTCAGCCGTACGTATGCGTACACGCGCGGAACACTGTCGCCGCGACAGTAATAATAATAATAATAATAATAATAATAAAAAAAATAGATATTATAATTGCGCCCAATTAGCTGGGTATAACGCGTTCCCGGGAGAGCACGCGACGACACATTTTTTAATTATCGTTTGTTTGTTTGTTTGTTTGTTTGTTGTTTTTTTTTTTTTATACGTTCCATCGCTGTTCGGGATCGAACGTTTAACAAGTCTGCGGTACTATTAATTGACAGCGACGACGACGATGACAAAACGGGCTCGCCGGAATCGGACGGCGGGTATTAATAATGATAATATTGTGACGACGCGGCGACCATCGATGCCGCGACCTGACCCGCCGCCGTCATATTTTTTAATTATGATAGTAATTATTATTAATCGCGTCTCGGAGCGTTTTTCGGAACGTACAAAACGCAACACGCAAACAAAATAATAATAAAAACGACGGGCATGCTTCGCACGCGGGTGCAGCCACTGTTGGCGTAAGGCGTAGGATACGGACGGCAATATCTGCAAGCAACGATACGATAAACCGTTGCTAACGGAAAAACGATTCTGAGCCGAGTTCAGTTGATGTAGCGACGCAAAGGTCAATAGTATATAATATGTCATATTATGGTAATCAAATTAAACGGGCATTATATATATTCTTTGATAATATTTGTCTAATATTGTACACGATTTTCCTTTTTTTTTTTTTTTTTCTACATTTTTCCCGGATTTTTATAATAACATAATATAATAAACGTTATATTATATTTATTATATAGAAAATGCGGCAGAGAAACAAGGTTATAATAACAGAATCCGTATACGGTGAAAACGTTGACGAAAATTGTAAATATTACGGCCTTTAAAAAAAATATATCACCGAACTCCGCTTAGAATTGTTATTTGTTAGCAATGATTAATCGTTGTGTACAGATACACATCAAATACACCTCTATATTCCTCTATATACCTCTATATTGTCAATAGCCATTTTTACAATGTTTTATTTTAACTTACTCTGGAATAAATGCGAAGTAGTTTAAAACGTGTGATTGATTTTTGACCCACTTCTCGTGGTACAATCTACTACAAATTTTCCACGCGCTCATATTTTTGATGACAATACAATAATCAGTAACAGTCAGATTTGAAATTTTCGTTCCCATTTTCAAATACGGTGAAAAAAATGATTTTCACACTATATGATTATCGGGAAAAAAATGTGAAAAAAAATTCCACGTAAAACTTTTGCTCGTATATTCTCTACTATAAATAATCTACGGTCGTTTTTTCCATTTTCCAAAAGAGGCGGAAACATGATTTTTACCCCACGTATCACTAAAAAAAGTCACTGAAAAATGTATTAATAACATAATAGTTACTAACATATAATTTCTAAAACAAATTTACTGTTTAAATACTTAAATCAATATAGACAAGCACAAACATTTTTGAAGAGACCACTCGGCTAACTTTTTGGTGTCTCCTGGATAACGCCAATAACAGACCGAGGGCACTCATCTCAAACGACCCAAGAACATCTACTGTTTGATTATTTTGGGATTTTAACGCGGAATGTCAGATTATTCTGTGAACGTGTTCATTATCTGTATACTATACAAGGCGAGTAGGACGACGTGGTGAAAATATACAAAACAGGAAAAAACTGTTTACACTGCACCGCGGTGGTATTTTGATATTTATAGAAAACTAGTCGTGTGTTATTATTCCCTGTGCGGGTTTCTTGTTATATCGAATATCATACATTACATTACAATTATAAACCTAGCTGTCACCGACACCGACTGTTGTTTTGCGTGTTTAAGCCACGCGATGGCGTATTAATGGGTCGACCGGGAGTAGGTATGCCGACAAACACTATTTATCTATAAGCGGGGCTTAAAACGTTCGATTTGCCGTAGGTACTACACACCATATTTTCAAGTTTGTTGCCAATGACGTACTCAGACAAACCTGACATCCAGAGCCGTGACAAGGCTTAACACACAAAATTGTCTGCTCTCTTAGTTCCCTTACCTCCCATAACCATTTCAATTCAAATTTTATGCGTCTACATTGTGCTTGAGTCACGCTATTTTCTGAGACGCGCACTTGGCCTGAGTCAGTCTTGTCAAGGTCTGGGCTACTGTTCTGAGCCTACCTTCTGCAAATTGATTTAATCGTGCCATTGAGATTATGTACATTTTTTATGCGTGTACTTGTACGAGTGTAACCCGATTTTAGAACGTTATTATTATCATTTTTATAATTATTGTTAATATTATCGGACAACATTATGAATGTTATTTTGTTCTGTATAACAATACCAATATTTTTATATTGATGGATTATATCATATATCACATTACAATATGTGTCTGTTTTCTTATTAAATTATA